TATCGTCTCTGCCCGAGTATCATGGACAGAGACTGCCCCGTATCGCTTGCGGTACGAAGACAAACATCCCCGTAAAGCCTTCAATAGGCTCTGAGTGAGCACCTTTGAAGGCGAACACGGCATGCGAAGGGGCGGATAACCAGCGCATCGGCCGCCTTCTTCTCCCTCGTGCTGATGTCCGCACACCCCACCAGCTACTCCCTTAAGCCTGAGTCGACCTAGGGGAGGCCCAGGACCGGTTTATATATTCGTCAGCGATGTTGGCTATGAAAGGGAATCGAACTCGGGTCGTCAGGTTCGCAGACCACGTGTCACCGCTCGCGCCCACGCGACACACGCGAGGGATGTGGTCCCAATTTGGGTTCATCTGAAGAAAAGCAAATGACCAAGAGATGAAAATGCAACGTCCATTCCTCAACATTATTAATAATAATACGCTTCATTGTGCAGAATATAGCAATCTAAGCAGAGAATCCGTCTCCTGAAGAGTTGGCTTGTCCTAATGCCGACGGCATGAGCACACATTCCCACCGTGTTATCATTGTCACTGCGACGTCACGACTCAGGCATGCAGTGAGCGCCTGTTCAGTGTGCAGTGGGCGATGTCCTTCCACCCAGAGTCTCGTTATTTTGACGTTGTCATGCGAACCGGGAAGTGATAGAGCAGCAGGAAAGCAGCGTTTCGTCTTGAGGATATGGAGGTAATGTGCAACTTACCAACAAGGTCCGGCATAGGGAGGGAATCTCTCACCTCTTCTGAACGATGGGGTAAACATTCCTGTCCCATCACAATAACACAACAACTTCAGATCCATCAATAGCATCGCCAGAAGATGAGCAGTCGATACACAGCCCTGTAGCGTACGGTGCGAGAGAAGTTCAACGTCGACACAGTAACGCTCCAGTCCTGACACAGCCCCAAGCTCAACGCAGCGATGGCAAAGTAACAGCCCGGTCCTGGCCAGGTGATCTCAAAGGGAACATCGCTTCCCAATGAGGGATACACGTATAGAACAACAACAATACATCGATTCCAGCGGGGCTCCATCTGGTACAGATGCAGTGGCGAGGCTGATAGATGCCCGTGTGTGGCCAAGGGTCAGCCACGTTGCGTGTGCCGATGGCGACCTGGTAGTTGGAGACTGTAGTTGACTAAGCGGTCAAACATTGAGTAAATTCAGCGAACCACATATATACACATATATATATACACATATATATTTTCAAATACCCAACGAGCCTGTTTGGTCTTCTGCCGTGCACGCGAGTCTCTGACAGACCTCGACTTGAAGCTTTCGTGCCTACAGGAACTCACATTCGTGGGGTCTTTAAGTCAAGTCACGTAGATAGGTTCAAAGAAAATAACTAAAAAACAAAAAACGACGACGCTTCGATCGCAACGCGAGCGTTCGTCACCGACTCCACTAAACTCGCTTCTCGCGCTCTGCGTCCTCATCGGGCCTCGTTCGTTCATCCTCAGCACAGCCGAGACGCTGGGCTGTGCTGGGTGGTGGGGGGGGAGTCGTCGCCTTGCTTTGGTTTCCCCAGGAGGCATCGCTGTCCAAGATAAACACAACGAGACCTCTCGCTCTGCCGAAACCCTCCGCCGTGGGAGCAGCAGCAGCACATCGACATTGAGCGTCGTCCTCCTGCACCACGAAGGGACGCACTTGTGGGACGCGCCGGTGGGACGCACTGGTGGGATGCACCGGTGGGATGCGCCGGTGGGACGCACTGGTGGGACGCACCGGTGGGACGCGCCGGTGGGACGCGCTGGTGGGACGCGCCGGTGGGATGCACCGGTGGGACGCGCCGGTGGGATGCACCGGTGGGACGCACTTGTGGGACGCGCCGGTGGGACGCGCCGGTGGGACGCACTTGTGGGACGCGCCGGTGGGATGCACCGGTGTGACGCACTGATGGGATGCACCGGTGGGATGCACCGGTGGGACGCGCTGGTGGGACGCGCTGGTGGGATGCACCGGTGGGACGCGCTGGTGGGATGCACCGGTGGGACGCACTGGTGGGATGCACCGGTGGGACGCGCTGGTGGGATGCACCGGTGGGATGCGCCGGTGGGACGCGCTGGTGGGATGCACCGGTGGGACGCGCCGGTGGGACGCGCTGGTGGGACGCACCGGTGGGACGCGCCGGTGGGACGCGCTGGTGGGAAGCGCTGGTGACGAATAGTCGCCGGCTCGGGGCTGCCAGGGGAGGTGTCCTGCACCTCCTTCCTGTGCTCCCCTGAGCCACCAAACACTTCGACTCCGGTAAAGCGTTTGGCATTTTAAGCCCCAGTAGGAAGTCGCCCATTCTCCCCTGCTGCACCATTGGTCTGGAAATGCCAGGCTAAATTTAGTACCTTCCGCGATGACCGTTTCTCTCTACAAAATAGAGATTGCCACTTTCTGCACTGCGTTCTGAGATGCGGTCACGTTTAGACTTTTAGAAATTCAAAATTACAATTTCATGTTTTATGAATGGCTGACAGACAATTCGATATTTAGAATAATTTAGAGAGTGCCATTCATGGCAAAAGAGTTCAAGGGCACTTCACGTAAGTCAAAATAAAATAATAAAACATCTACAAAGACAAGTGTTGTAAAAAACCACACACACATTAAATAATAAATGTTGCATGAAAGGGGGGGGGGGAAATAATCTTAAAATGCCAGAGTAAACCGAGAAGGCGAATTTATAGAAATAAGCGTGGACGGAGCCGTCGCCATTGGCGGCAGATCGCCCCACGCGATTGGGACCCCCAGAGGAGCCGCAGAGGAGCTCCGGGCAGGGAAACGCGCCCCCCCCCCCCCCGCTCATCGCCGTGCGCGGCCCGGCCCCCACCGCCAGCCGACTTACGAGGTGACATTCACTCTGACAAGTGACTCCGTGCCATGCCAGTGATGACTTACGTGGGAGCACAGGCACGCACGAGGAAGTCTACGGCGAGTCGTTCTGCTCTGACTCAAAATAAATACCAAAGTCTGATATTGCACGGCTCTTGACGCCACAGATTGCGATCTACCGCGGATCTAGTCACGTCTCCCAAAACAAACAACAGGTGAGGATGGGCGAGATAGGAAGATAGATGCAGACCACTTGGTGGTTATTGATGTTGCCGAATAAGAACGACAGTACATAGACCTCTTGAACATTTGTGTTCATTCCAGCCTCCCGATTGTTCTTTTGAATCGTTAAAGCCAGATGAGTTTGGGCTCTCCCACCCCATCATTTGCTCCAACTGTGCAGCGTTAAGTGCGTGGTCTGCTCGGGTTTCCAACCACTCAACTTCTCTGCTAACAGCGACGATTCATAGCCCTCTTTAACACTCTCCCTCGGGCGACATTTAATAAATGTGATCCTTATCGGTGCGCTGACAGAATGAGAAGTGTCGCAGACAGTTTGTGAATCATTGACAAGAGTTTCAGGGGGTTTTGCGTGTTCTAATTTGAATAAAAAAATTTGTATTGTGCATTCTTGAATCTTGTTTGTTGCATTAGCGGGGTGTGTCAAGGAACATGGAAGTCTGTGCCCCCCCCCCCCCCCCCCCAGGTTGCCTGAGTGGGACGTGGAGGCTGATCTTGCACAGACCAGGCACAGCCTGGCTCAACAATTCAATTACCGGGGCCCCCATGATGCCACGTGGAGTCTTCAACTCATCCATATTCCGGGGTCTTTCGGTAAAGTCACGGAGATTGGTTCAAATAAAATAACAAAAATAACCAAAAAAACTACGACGTTTCGATCGCAACACAAGCAATCATTATCAGGAGAAAAAAGAGCTGGAAAGCTGCTGAGGCAGGCTGTTTAAAAGGTTTGAAATGGGTGTAGCCCAAGGGTCATAAACGAAGTGGGTGGGGCTAGTGATGTTAAAGTGAGAGATTAGCATGTCAATGTAAACAGCGGCTGTGTAAACCAAGTGAGCGGGGCTAGTGATGTTAAAGTGAGAGATTAGCATGTCAATGTAAACAGCGGCTGTGTAAGCGAAGTGAGCGGGGCTAGTGATGTTAAAGTGAGAGATTAGCATGTCAATGTAAACAGCGGCTGTGTAAGCGAAGTGAGCGGGGCTAGTGATGTTAAAGTGAGAGATTAGCATGTCAATGTAAGGTTGCAGAGCCACCACCACATCGAGGACACAAGCAACGATGGCTGTGTTAGTGTGAGACATTTAACCTGTTCATGTAAAATAACTACTAACATCGGAAGGTAGGATGGAAACATCACAGCCAGTTATGACTTAAACTGGCTCATAAGGTCCTTCCAATGATTGCTCAGTTTGTACCCATCTTCTCGGTTGAAATTGTGTCTGTGTCTATATATATGGATGGCTTCATGAACGAATCTTTGTTGATAGCCAGTGGGCTTGCAAAGTACCTTCGTCTTAGAGAAATCAATTTCGTGTGAGCCCACCGCATTAAAACAATGATCAGCCACGGCCGAGGTATTGGTCCTACCGTGTTTCAGATCCGCCTTGTGTAACTGCTGCCGCAGACACAGCTTAGTTTGTAGACGCCGGGGTATTGCATGTCAGGGATCACATCATTCACAGATGGGATCAGATCGTATCATCCACTCTGTCTCTCTGCATTCTCTGTCTGTGCGCTTTGTAGAAGGACCGTTACCAAAAACATCGCCTATTATATATTTGTTTATATTATAATTTTTTTATATTTTATGTATATTTTTATATTACATGTATTTTTTTTCTTTTCAAGGCCACACACGCACGTGGTGTTGTGATTGACAGGGAACATGCCGAGGCGTTGTTGGTGATGTGGCACCACTGCTGACCCAGGGTTATGGCGGGAACACGAATTGGAACACGAACTGCATGGTAGCGATGTAGTTCATAGCGACCGGCTATGAACTACATCGGACTCCACAGACGCACTGGGTGTGTACAAGGAAGCATAGCAGAATAATTTAAGGAAGTTATTTGGTTGTGCACAAAGCCCCCCGCCCCCCTTCTTAGATGGGGCCACCATTGGGGAGGGGGTGGGGGGGGTTCGCATAAAGCCGCACTCCTCCCTCGGCACCGGCCACGCGAATCTCCTCGCCCGCTCGCCGTGTCGGCCATGGGAGGCCCTCTCCTGTTGACGCTGCTGCTGCCGCTGCTGCTCTGCCTCGCCGCCTTCGCCGCGCCGCCAGGTGACATCCCCCTGCCACATCCCTGCCACATCCCTGCCACATCCCTGCCACATCCCTGCCACCTGGCGGGGCTTGGGGGGGAGGGGGGGCACCCTGGGGTGGGCAGTTTCCACCGCTTCAGATACATCTTCACGTTTCCGAAATGTTTCATGTCATTCGGATTATTTTTTCATCACAAAACAATATTTTCTACAGAGCACGTTACATTTTTCTCACAAACAGCTAACACGGTGACTGTCATCACATGTCTGTGATCTAGCGATATTGTGCAATGATTCTACAAGAAGGTCATCGATCCGTGTTTGTGTTGGGTTCAAGGATGAGTCCTGCCGATGCAGCGGCGGCCACTTCGAGGTGGAATTTGGCCGCGAGAATTGTGGAGCCCCCGGCGAGACGGAGCTCTGTCGCTCAGAATGCAATCGATCACCTGGCCACGGACAGGTCGCGCCTTGTGAAGGTGACGACCCTGGCGGGGGGTGGAGGGTTAGTAGCAAGAGTTTGGGCATAAACCCCTACTTGGCCTAAACCCAAAAACAAATACGGATCGTAGCATTGTTATTATTTGCCACCCTGGATGATCGCGTTCAGCTACTCCGACCCAGCGGATCTCCCTCCGCCAGCAGCGACCCGAGAGAGGTTTTGCGGCGCTGCCACTCACCGCCCCCCCACCCCTCTCTGCAGGCCACAGCCTCGACGAGCTGCAGCCGAGCGGTGCCATCTGGAGCTGGGAGGGCGACTCGGTGCTGCTCGACGCGAACTTCGAGAGCGGCGGGATCCTCTCCTCGCTGCGGTGGACCTTCAACGGCAGCGTCGTCGTCGTGAACGGTAGCGAGGTCGCCGAGCGCTACCGAGGTGAGGGGGGGTGGCAGGGCGGCGTCACGCCCTGCGCGAGGCACGAGGCGCCCTGCGCGGCAGCACCGCGAGCCTCTTCTGCCCTCCACGTTGAGAATCAGCATCACGCGTTCAGATGATTTTGCTGCGATCGCTTTCCACGAGATGAGCCACTTTGTTGAGCTATCGTTTGTGGCCAAGTCGCTTCTGAAAAAAGTATCTAACAGATCTGTGGGCTTTACCGAGGACGATGAATAATTATAGGTTCGTTTTATTCGTATATTTTTTTCAGTGATTTATTTACCTTTCCTATACTTTGCACTCCTATCGTGTTTTCGTGTTGTTATTTGTTGTTTGTGTTGTTTGTTGTCGTGTTGTTTGTTGTTGCAACTTTCTGACCCGCCGCGACTGTGAAAAAGAGCTTTATAGCTCATCGGATTCCTCCAGTATAAATATTCAGATTCTGAACTTACGCACCGTGAAATAATTAAAATCAAACGCAGCAATTAACTTCGCCTATGCCGAACAAGGGACCCACAATTCAGAGTACACACAGAACACCTCTAACTCAGAGTACACACAGAACCCCTCTAACTCAGAGTACACACAGAACCCCTCTAACTCAGAGTACACACAGAACCCCTCTAACTCAGAGTACACACAGAACCCCTCTAACTCAGAGTACACACAGAACCCCTCTAACTCAGAGTACACACATAACACCTCTAATTCAGAGTACACACAGAACCCCTCTAACTCAGAGTACACACAGAACCCCTCTAACTCAGAGTACACACAGAACCCCTCTAACTCAGAGTACACACAGAACCCCTCTAACTCAGAGTACACACATAACACCTCTAACTCAGAGTACACACAGAACCCCTCTAACTCAGAGTACACACATAACACCTCTAACTCAGTGTACACACAGAACCCCTCTAACTCAGAGTACACACAGAACACGAGAACCTCCATGGGCACCGGCGCGTGGTCAGCCCCGGCCCGATCGTCTGGGAGACGCCGCTGCTGTGCCGGCTGCCTCGGCAGCGTTAGGCAGCGTTAGGCGTTGGTGGTGGTGTGTGGTGGTGGTGGTGGTGGTGTATGTGTGGTGGTGTGTGGTGGTGTGTGTGGTGTGTGTGTGGTGTGTGTGTGGTGTGTGGTGGTGTGTGTGGTTTGTGTGGTGTGTGTGGGTGTGTGGTGTGTGGTGGTGTGTGTGGTTTGTGTGGTGTGTGGTGGTGTGTGTGGTGGTGTGTGGTGTGTGGTGTGTGGTGGTGTGTGGTGGTGTGTGGTGGTGTGGTGGTGTGTGGTGGTGTGTGGTGGTGTGTGGTGGTGTGTGGTGGTGTGTGGTGTGTGGTGGTGTGTGGTGGTGTGTGGTGTGTGGTGTGTGGTGGTGTGTGGTGTGTGGTGGTGTGTGTGGTGGTGTGTGGTGTGTGGTGTGTGTGGTGGTGTGTGGTGGTGTGTGGTGTGTGTGGTGGTGTGTGGTGTGTGGTGGTGTGTGGTGGTGTGTGGTGTGTGTGGTGGTGGTGGTGTTGTGTGGTGGTGTGTGGTGGTGTGTGGTGGTGTGTGGTGGTGGTGTGTGGTGGTGTGTGTGGTGTGTGGTGGTGTGTGGTGGTGTGTGTGGTGTGTGTGGTGGTGTGTGGTGGTGTGTGTGGTGTGTGGTGGTGTATGTAGTGGTGTGTGGTGGTGGTGTGTGTGGTGGTGTGTGGTGGTGTGTGGTGGTGTGTGTGGTGTGTGGTGGTGTGTGTAGTGGTGTGTGGTGGTGTGTGGTGTGTGATGGTGGTGGTGTGTGTGGTGTGTGGTGGAGTGTGTGGTGGTGTGTGGTGGTGTGTGGTGGTGTGTGGTGTGTGGTGGTGTGTGTGGTGTGTGTGGTGTGTGGTGGTGTGTGTAGTGGTGTGTGATGGTGGTGGTGTGTGGTGGTGGTGGTGTGGTGGTGTGGTGGTGTGTGGTGTGTGGTGGTGTGTGTAGTGGTGTGTGATGGTGGTGGTGTGTGGTGGTGTGTGGTGGTGTGTGGTGTGTGGTGGTGTGTGTGGTGTGTGGTGGTGTGTGGTGGTGTGTGGTGGGGTGTGGTGTATGTGTGGTGTATGTGTGGTGGTGTGTGGTGGTGTGTGGTGGTGTGTGGTGGTGTGTGTGGTGTGTGGTGCTGTGTGTGGTGTGTGGTGCTGTGTGTGGTGTGTGGTGGTGTGTGGTGGTGTGTGTGGTGGTGTGTGGTGGTGTGTGGTGGTGTGTGGTGGTGTGTGGTGGTGTGTGGTGGTGTGTGTGGTGTGTGGTGGTGTGTGGTGGTGTGTGTGGTGTGTGGTGGTGTGTGTGGTGTGTGTGGTGGTGTGTGGTGGTGTGTGGTGGTGTGTGGTGGTGTGTGGTGGTGTGTGGTGGTGTGTGTGGTGGTGTGTGGTGTGGTGGTGGTGTGTGGTGGTGGTGGTGGTGGTGTGTGTGGTGGTGTGTGGTGGTGGTGGTGTGTGGGGGGGTCTCTCTGCGCGTCCCAAGGACGAGCAGCGGCCGCGGCGTTCTTCCACACCGAGCGCAGTGAACGAGTCGAGATGCAAGTAGCCAGGGACGTCCATTGGGGGGAGGGGGAGAGGTGCCCAGGGAACATCACGCCACGTGCCCCACCCGCGTTCAAACTAAACCGGAAATATTACATCGGACACCGTGACGTCGAGGCGCGGGGCCCCCCAAATTTCGGGGCCCGGGGTGGTCGCCCCGATTCGCCGCACACCCCCGGGTCGCCTGTGCGCGTAGCGGACGTCGCTCCGAGCCGTCCCCACCGCGTGCCGACCGCACGAGTCGAGCAAGCCGCGCCGGCAACATTCCCGATACAACTACGACGAGTTCCAGAGGCATAACGTGTCCCCTTTACCCTTCCCGATATGAGACAACTTGTGTGCCAGTATGAGAATCATTGACAATAATGTAAACAATATTTTTCGTCATCATTTTGTATAATTATTTGTTTAGTTGTTTGTTGTTCGTGAGAAGGTAAGAAGCCCATTAAGCCCGTGCTGTCCTCTTGCCTGGGTGGAAAGCGATGGTGCCGTCCTTCCGCAACCCTGGCCCAGCCCGCCTCCAAAAGACTCAATCGCACGACCTCTCGGAGCGACACCAAAAGCCCCCCCCCCCCCCCATCTCAGCGCGTTGCCCAGACGCCGTCTCCTCTCCGTGACGCCCCCGCAGGCAGGGCCAGGCTGGAGGCCAACGGCTCCCTGTGGCTGCAGCGCGTGGCGCTGGGGGACTCGGGGGTCTACCGACTCCACGCCGAGGATGACGGGAGTCCCGCGAGCGCGCAGGGAGCAGTGGAGCTGATCGTCTACCGTGAGTGGAGCTGCATCGACACCACCGTGGTCACCACCACCACCATCACCACCATCACCATCATCCACATATCCATCATCACCACCATCATCACCACCATCATTACCATCATCATCATTACCACCATCATCACCATCATCACCATCATCATCATCATCGCCACCATCATTACCATCATCATCATCATCGCCACCATCATCCACATCACCATCATCACCACCATCATCACCACCATCATCACCACCATCATCATCATTACCACCATCATCACCATCATCACCACCATCACCACCATCATCATCACCATCATCACTACCATCATCATCATTACCACCATCATCACCATCATCATCATCATCGCTATCATGGACACCATCGTGATCATCATTATCCCTAGCATCGCCATGACCATTACCGCCACCAACATGATCATGATCTAGTATTTTGCCACTGGTAAAGGAGGTCTCATAGTGTATGATCATTATCGTCATCATTGCCAGCGTCACCATGATGCTGATGATGTTCATTTGGAATGCACCACCCGGTATGCGCTCACTCTCGATGAGAACGATTCAGAGGTGCGAGGACCCAAACACCAAAGCGAGACTGTGACGAGAGGAGATTAGCCGGCTGGGATGAAGACGCCAAAATAATTTAGTAAATAAAAGACCACCACTGCAATATTCCAACAATGAGCTCTTTAAATGAGATGCATACGACCTGTCACGTGGGGCAGTGTTCATTGTTGCAGTCGACCGTGCATCGAAAAGGTGCTTTTTTTAAAGAAAGTTTAGTAACGTTATTATAAATAGCAATGCTGGAGGAAGGGCAGAAGTGTAAATTGGCTCGATACATCCCAGGTGACTCATTGGCTGATCTGATTTTCACGCCTTCCCCGCCAACATTAAACAAGTGGACTATAGACGCTGGATGGGTTTAGTCGAGAAATTACTAAATTAAATCTGAAATTCCAAAAGTTGTTAACTACACTCGGAATGAGTCAAGTAAATGAACATTAAAAACCATGCATGTGGATGGCTTCTGTAACACCGACTCAGAAACCGTTGTGCTTGGAAAAATATATATAATAAAATAAAGTGTCCAAGCTATCTGCTAAGTCATACAGATCAGAGAAAAAGACATGGACGCAAAGAATGAACTCCACAGACTTTAAGACTTCAAAATCCCATCGACTGGACGATGACTTAAATGACAAAAATTATAAGAAATTCGGACAAAAATTTGCATTGCTCTGGACTAGGAATGTGCTACCGATTTTAAGATTCATCCACAAAAAAACCCAATAATTTATGCAGACACAAAACTTCGGGCGATCTGAACACAAATGAGCGAATGCAGAGTTCTGAAAGAGAAGCGGCGCCACGCGCGTGGACATCGCGTCCGCTGCGTTGCCACTAAGCTGGGGTCACGCGGGAGGGGGGGGGGTAAACGTCACTTCTCGAGCCCTCGACAAATTCGTCTATAGAGCTGTAAATGATCTGACAATCCGAAAACATTTGACATTTCCCCCAAGAATGCGACATCATTTTCAATCCAAAATGCACCCCGAGGCCCAGACTGCAGTTCGATTCGAGACGACTTTACTCTGGATCCGAACCGCACCCCTCGCTTCTGAATTCCCTTTTTGTGTTTTTGTTTTTCAGAGATCGACGACCCACACGGCAGTGTGAACAAATCGCGAGCCTCCGTGCGGGGCATCTCGCCCAGGAAAGGGAGCGTGTCCAACACCGTGGGTGCAATTGGCGATGTGACAGCGGCTGGCATCAGTAGTGGCCTCAGTGCTGGGGCCATCGCAGGCATCGTCGTAGGCATTGTCGTCCTGAGTGTTCTACTATCGCTCATAGGCTACGGCTGTAGCGATAAGTCAGGGTGAGCGAAGAGATGGCATCGAGGAGCTTGACACGCACAGGTTGATACATTGATGGCAATCTCGGGCACAACACTGAATATCAAGGGCAGGAGTCTTGGGATGGGGGTTCACGCCAATTCTGACCAAGGTCAATGCAGGATGAACGTCTTAAACTCAGGGCCTAAATCACGGCTCAGATACAAATAAAATCATGGCCCAAGATCCAGATGTAACGGCAACTTCGAAAATGCATCCCCCCCCCTCCATTGGACCCCCTACCCCCCCCCCCCCACCAGACCCCCTACCCCCCCCCCACCAGACCCCCTACCCCCCCCCCCCCCCACTAGACCCCCCCCCCTGCTCAGTAGACCCACAGCCTCCAGGCTCTGCCCGCACAGCATCTCACCATCTGCTCTCCAGGTCTTCTCTCTCGGTCGCCACTCATGGACACCATCACAGCGCCGTCTCAGTAACCGGGCCCTGCTCTTTGCATATCCTGTCTCGCCACAACCATTCCCAGCAACCATCTCACACGACCGACCTCAAATGCCACCAACTTCTTGTCAAGCCGTTCAGGTTGGGTGGAGCTCTCTGATCCACGCAGCGACACCGATGTTAGGGAGGGCCACCTCAGCATGCCCTCGTTTCCTTCACGCGCATGTTTCTCGCTTCTCTTCCAAAGTGGTTTTCCGCAGCTCAACACAAGCACGGCCTGCCCGGAGCAAAACGCCTCTTGACCTCCTTTATTCACAGCCCCCCTTTTACTATGATCAATAATTATCGGATCCGTAGATGAAGATGAAGCCCATCGCAACCGAACAATAGTGTGGAACCGTAAAGAACAGGAGGGCTCTGTTGAGTTCCATGTTACGGGCTCGTGCATGACCTTACACAGGGCGTTGAACGTCATGTTACATCATTAGTGGATCAGTGACCTGACCCTCCACACGTGACCCTCCACACGTGACCTGACCCTCCACACGTGACCTGGCCTTCCACACGTCGCGAATACGCCAAATGCTTCACACCACCTGGGGACGCACAAAGATAAATATCCCCCGTGTAGCCTTAACAGACTGTAGGGGCAAGTGCTGTTAGCGAGCACCTATGAAGGCCGGAACGGCACACTACGGGGTGGGTGGCCAGCACCACGCCCGACCGCCTTTGTCTCCCTAGTGGCGATGTTTACACACCGCACTAGGTACTCATTTGAGGCTGAGTCGACCTAAGGGAGGCCCGGGGCCGGTTCAGATAATCGTCACTGGTGTTGGCCGTGAGCGGGAATCGAGCTCGTGTCGTTGGGTTCATAGCGCAGCGCGCTAACCGCTACACTGTCGCTCCCCAGTGTGCACACACACACACACACCCACACACGCACACACACCCACACACACACCCCCGTCACATTGCTGAGATGTCCCGATGTGCTCACCTGTTACCCCAGTTCCCTCTTCTGTCAACATTTCTGTCCATCAGTTGCTAGACTCAGAAGGAGTCCATAACAACCGCAAAGTCATCCCCATACCTCAGATTATTGAGCACCTTTTATCTTATATCTTGCCGAATTCCTATGACAATATCGATCATCAGATAGTCGCTTAACATTTTTAAACACATGGCGACATTCCACAGCCCCATGTCACCCTTTCCTCTAAGATTACACCTTTTGTTATCTCATTTGTGTTGTCCGGTTCCAGTAGAGTTGCTTCAGAATGCTTTCCACCATGCCTATGGCTTCTAGAGCTTCACAAGTATAACATACCGTCTCTCACAGTCCAGGAAACACGCGTGAGCAGCAATGTATTCCTTTGCAACGTCTTCCTCGCTATGATTCTCAGGCCAGAAATGCGTCTGCTGCTCCCTCCTCTCCGTGTGTGAAACCCATTCTGTACTCGGATCAGCCTGCAGTGCAGGTTGATCATGGACGTGTGTATTCGTAGGCGTGGGCTGCGAGTTCTTACCTGAAGCTGTCGCCGCCACGCACGACTGTGGGCATCTTGAGGACTTGGATTCGGTCATGTCACCTCGAGTTCGTGTTTAGATTCTGTGCTGCCATGCAGTCTTCGGACCCGTCATGAAAACAAATTCTAATTTATCAGTTCCCCTTCATCAAACAACTATCGTTCCGTGTCGGATTCCCAAGTTGCTGATTTTTATATATATATAGTTCATCCAACATGTGTACAGCACGTCGAGATGGGGTTTAATCTTTGCCCTGGTGATCAACACTGTTTAGGTGAGGCAGAGCTTGAAGAATTCTTGCATTTCTTTTTCAAAAGCTTATATTTTAAACTTCCACCGCTTCTCTGATCAGTCTCAAAGCAGAGTTCTATTCGAGCTATTCTGAAATTACCCAAATACTAACTTGTGATTACAGAATAGCAATCATCACTCCGTGATGGCAGAACAACGCCCCAGGCCACGCTTACGAATGAGACTCACCCACGAACTCCTGGGTTCTCGCTCAACAAACCCGACTTGAAACTGAAAATCCACGACGGTGCCACGAGACCTCGGCACGACTCGATCCCTGCCATCCAAACGCCGAGATGCCCCATTCCTGGACAGTCTGGGTGGAGTCTGGGCAGGTGGCAGACATTTGATCATCAAGGACGAGTCACTCGCATGTAGCAAAGTCATTGTGCATCTGTGTAAACCTGACAAGCTGGTGGTGGAGGTGGTGGGGAGAGGGAAAAACAAACCTACTGCTTTAGAGAGTGAGAAGGACACTGTCTAATTGTGTAACCTCAGGGGGGGAATGTATTCTCTGCATACGCTACTCTATAAGGAAGAGCACACTCCCTGTGTGTGTAACCTCAGGGAGAAGCATAACCTCGGAATGTAAAACGATGATAAATAAAGTCGTGATTGCAAAATATTGGGAATAAAACGCGCGGTGCAACGGTGGGAAATGACTCTTTGATGGCGTCACGATGGCAACAGATCGATACCGTCGCCTGTGGGTTGGAGACCTTATTGACGGGGAGTTCTACCTCCCGCATGAAGCCAATGTGTTGTGACACCATTATTCTTATTTTCAAGCACGTTGTGTTTGGGTATTGTTGGGGGAGACGGGTTGGGTGATTTCACGCTTGCTCGAAATCCTTGTAACCTGTCGTCGTGTGCGAGGTGGCTCTGGGCAGCGTTCCTCAAAATGTGTTTGGCACTGCGGACAGCTCAGGCCCACACCCCGACTGATACAACGCATTCACTTCTCTCTAAATACCACTCATAATACAACATCAATCGTATTACAGGATTCGTATTACTGGAACAAAACTTATTTTAATGCAGCGATGAGGTTATTTTTTGAAGGGGGCATTTATTTATTAGGTTTATGGTAGTTTAATCAGGGTGGTCTACCTAACGTCATTTTTATTAAATACCACGAGTGAAATATGAATTAATATCCGAAACAAAAAGGTGTCAACATTGTCACCATTGCCGGATCCATCTGCCTTTGCATCACCGCCACCGCAGACCACCTGGAGGAGCGTCACGGACCACTGCTGGTCCCAGAGACCACACTCTGAGAACCACCGCTGGTCCCAGGGACCACACTGAGAACCATCGCTGGTGCCAGGGACCACACACTGAGAACCACGGCTGGTCCCAGGGACCACTCTGAGAACCACCGCTGGTCCCAGGGACCACACTGAGAACCACCGCTGGTCCCAGGGACCACTCTGAGAACCACCGCTGGTGCCAGGGACCACTCTGAGAACCACCGCTGCCCTAGAACCACCCAACAGTTCTCCTAAGCAGGGACCACTTTACAAATATCCCGGGCGAGCCACCAGAAAAATGACACCCGCAATGTCTAAATTAATTAGGGGTTAATTGTTTACACAGAAAATCCAAGAGCATTCTGCATTTGGAGGTTTGGCAAATACCCATGGCATAGTACGATTTGTTTTAGCTCTGGGAGCGAATCAGAAAACCCAGAGGAAAATTCATGCAGGGAGAACATAAAAACAAGATGCAACCACAACGGACACTGAAAAGTAAGACATCTCACACATGCCATCAAATGTCAATCACATCTGAAGAAAATACGCAAATACAAGCACTGAGTCTTGGGCTCATTCTTACTGTATTCACCCTTCTAGCTACAACGCACGCGGCGCCATGGCAAACCAGATGCGCGTTTGAACAGAGTGCACGCACGTTTGAACAGAGTGACAACGCGCGTTTGAACAGAGTGAGAACGCGCGTTTGAACAGAGTGACAACGCGCGTTTGAACAGAGTGACAACGCGCGTTTGAACAGAGTGAACGGAAGCACGGCCACATACAGAGCCTCCTCAGCCAGGGGTGGTGAAGCCTCCTTCAATCGGCGAACCAGACCTGACCAATGACTCGCACGACTTGACTGCACGCAACTGCGTCGCTTAAGCGTGGACATCTCCGCAAGCAGTTGCGAGCAGTGTCATGCCACTGGCTGCTGTTCATGAGAGAGTACACACGATGCTTCCAATGGTCGATCTGCTCAATGGCGACTTGTAGCCACGTGACAACATTTCTGTAATTGCTCATTACGATCCCAAATGATGGACGGGTTTCAGTTCCTCATTGTTCAACTGCTCGCTCGGTTCTGGACAAAGCAGCTGCAAGTGACGATTCATAAATTGCGCGATTTCCAGCTTTGCCGAGAGCCGTACAGCACTTCTCAAATAACTTTGGCAAGCGGAAACTCATTAAATCACACACACACACACTTCTGGCATTGCAAGAGGCATTCTACAGAAGTGTGTGAGCACGCAACACATTTATATAAACGCAGTTTTATTGTCAGCTTGGCAAAAAGAATCATCCCTCTAGGACTTGAATATCATTGTCCCGTACTCGGTGATGCACTGCCTCCACGAGATTTCCGAATGGATTCAACGTCTCCCAACAACACTTCGTAGTTACCATCAGGTAACAATTCATACCCCTACTTAAAAACTGGTGTCAGCAGAAAACGTGTTTTTTTATGTAATGATCATCGGTCTCCCCATGGTATGAACAAGTTCTGTCTCCAACTCTCATCGTGCACTCTGTCCCTCTACTGGCCCCTCTATGCATGTGCCATGAAGGGCCATTGCCTGAAACGTCACCCATTGTGTATTTTCCCTGTTAAGGCCACACACACGCACGGCGTTGTTCCGACACGGAGCGTGTTGAGACGTCTTCGCCATTTGTGCTTGTGCACCACCGCCTAGCGGCAGCATCGCCACATATCCTACCTCGTCGCTCATCCTCCCGTAGCTCGGTCCCAAGCGAGACGTTCCAAGCACCGTGCGTTCCAAGGCAGAGAATGGGAACCGCATCGTGTGAACGATCGCGGAGACTCTAACAGGATAACGGTTCTCGCCCTTGGTTTCCGCGTCTTGAGCGGGATAAACAAGATCGAAAGAAGCTTCAATTTAAAAAGACAAAGCTACACTGAAACAACTCAAGGTAATGCAATTCAAGATACATAAAAACATTGTAAAAAGTAAGCTGTATACATTGGACAAACCCTATTTGCTACAATCGCAATATCGTGAAATAAAATCACATCCAAACATTTGCAAAACATCACACACTCCGACGACTTAACCAATGCTTAATGAGCACTATTATTACGAATATGCAGGAGCCGCCACAGTGGCTGCGTCGTGACGGCGAGCAGCGCGTGGGTTCCACTCCATCTCCCAGCCGGACCGCCCCAGCCGGACCGCTTCATCGTCACCAACGCCGAGAGCTCAGACGGCAGACAGGACGAGGAGCAGGCCGAGGGTGCGGCGAAGGGCGGGGTGGGAGGTCGGCCACGGAGATCGCGTGAGGGTTAGGGACAGTTGGGGTTAGATGTTGGGATGGGGAGGGTTAGGGACGGTTGGGGTGAGATGTTGGGATGGATGGGGAGGGTTAGGGACGGTCGAGGAGGGTCCGGGGAGCTAAGGGCGGCTCGCAAAAGTCCCGCGGGGCGAGGGAGCTGTCGTCGAGAGAGTGAAAGCCGTCGCCATAGAAACCACCGCTCTGCCCGTCACCAGCAGCGCAACCATCGAAAGGGAAACACGCTCATAGTAGTAGTAACCGTCGTCATGGCCGCCACGCACGTGCGCCGCGACCTCGCCAATTCGCGATAAGTAGTACGGTAAGCGAAGGTGATTAAGGATAATTACAGGGAGTGATCTTGTGATACGAGGTATGATAACGCTGTTGTCCATACAGTAGCTTGCACTCAACTTGTATTTGCTCCGCGACTCTCGTTACCACGATCATATGATCCGAATTATACGAGGCTCCGGAAAATAATCATGGATCTCAATTGGACCTCACCTGGTGAAGTAAAGCCAATACACTCCTACATCTCCATTAATGCCTCCGCTGGTTAAATATAGGCCAAGAACTGAAACTCAATTGGGCCGTATATCTGGTTAAATAAAGGCTACAAATAGAATTTCCATTGATTAAATAAAAGGACAATTAAATATGATTTCAATCGGCCCATGCATGGATCAATGAAGGCCACTGGGTACAACATCGTCCACGTTGCCTTCACAACTGAGCTCTGCAGCGTCGGTCGGGTCGCTCAGGTTCTTATTCTTCTTGGGTCTTTCGGTAAAGTCACGTCGACAGGTTCAACGAAAATAACAAAAAAATTACAAAGAAATAACAAAAAACGACGACGTTTCGATCGCAACACCAAGCAATCGTCATCAGGAGAAAAAAAATCGCCAAGGTTCTTGTTCGGTCGTCGCTCTAACGTTCAGGATGCATGTCGAGGCGGTGCACATCATCGTCAGGCAGAGTGCTTGAATCGGTTTCCTGAAACGATAAAGGTGTACACGCACACGCACACACACACACACACATGCACGCACACACACACACGCACACACATGCACGCACACACACACACACGCGCACACACACACGCACGCACACACACCCGTCGGAGTGAGGACCGGCACGACTAAGGCGGCAGCGGGATGGGCGTGTTGCTGGACGCACAGCGCACCGCTTGGTGCGCTGTGCGGCCACTCTGAGAGGAGCTCGCTACGAGCGCTCGACCCAGCAGTGTGGGGGGGGGAGGCTCTGGAGGGATCAGGGGAAGGGAGCGAGGAGGGGGGGGCGAGGTGGGGGTGAGCGAGGGGGGGGCGAGGGGGAGGTGGAGTGACTCGCAGTGGGAGCGCTCACGTCCTAGTGAAGGAGTCGCTCTGTGAATGAGTGACTGGGTGAGTCGCTCTATCAATGAGTGAGTGGATGAGTCGCTCTATGAATGAATGAGTGGGTGAGTCGCTCTGTGAATAAGTGAGTGGGTGAGTCGCTCTATGAATGAATGAGTGACTGGGTGAGTCGCTCTGTGAATAAGTGGGTGAGTCGCTCTGTGAATAAGTGAGTGGGTGAGTCGCTCTGTGAATAAGTAAGTGGGTGAGTCGCTCTGTGAATAAGTGAGTGGGTGAGTCGCTCTGTGAATGAGTGAGTGGGTGAGTCGCTCTGTGAATGAGTGAGTGGGTGAGTCGCTCTCTGAATGAGTGAGTGGGTGAGTCGCTCTATGAATGAGTGAGTGAGTGGGTGAGTCGCTCTATGAATAAGTGAGTGGGTGAGTCGCTCTGTGAATGAGTGAGTGGGTGAGTCGTTCTATGAATGAGTGAGTGGGTGAGTCGCTCTATGAACGAGTGGCAGGGTTGATGCTCACCTCACACGTCCGGAGAGCGATCCTGCAGCGGCTTCTTCTCCTCCACCCCGCCTGGTCGTGCTCGCTGCCCGCTGTTGGCCTTGCTGTCTCTGATCCACCGCAAAACAACAACAACAACAACAATCCAGAGTCAGAATATATTTGTTGAGTGACATGCCAGTGTGCGTCGCGATGCCCTCCTCCACCCAGCGTAGACAAAGTTGCCCCGCGAATGCACACGCCCATCGCTAACGCTTCACCTCGCCGGTTGCACTGGACGTGAAAGTCCACACGCATTTAACAACCACGTCGGCTCGTAACGCCGCATCACCGCCACTGCACGGTAACCGCTCATCGCTCGCAGAGCGACGGAGAGAGGGAGCCACTCGGAGGCGCCAGGAAGAACCGCACACGTGGAGCGGGGGAGGCAGCAGCGGCGGCGGCCATGCGGTGGTGAGGAACTGTACATTAGGGCGTTATCGGACTATAAAATGGGTTGTTTATATATGCGAGAGGAAACTGGAGCACCCGAAAAAAACACACGCATGTGCGAGGGGGCAACGCTCTATCCCGTACAAACAGAACAGATGTGCCGCACACTCTTAGCAGAGTCGGGGGACGGCTCCTCGACACCCACGGGAAGGGAGTTTTACAACATCTGTGCGCTGATCCACCAACCCCCGCTGCTGCCGCCGCCTCCACGGCGCTGGGCTAGAGCAGCCACCAGCTCCAGCATGGCTGTCATCATCAGCCGTCATCATAAGCCGTCATCATCAGCCGTCATCATCAGCCATCATCATCAGGCGATGGCTAGAATTGGGGCAAAGTCCTCCAGTCTTGGGCCTTAAATACGTGTTGGTGATGTCACCAACACACCCCCACAGGCAGGAGCAGGAAGTGATGCTTAGAGGTTCATTTATGCGCAGACATTATAGATTGTGTTAGATTGGCCTATGCATTAACATAGGGATCAACAACATAAGCATTATAACTCAACAATCAACACAACATAACTACAACAACAACGTAGGGATGAGCACAGGTGAATTTACAGATGAGTGAGTGTATAGACGCATGCAGATGTGTATAGAGGTGAGTGTCCAGGTAACTGTACAGGTGAGCGAGTGCACAGGTGAGTGTGTGGTTGGGAGGAGAGGTGTCCCACGTGCGTCTCACATGTTGCTGGAGCCCGACCTCTGCCGCCTGTACCAGTAGTAGGCTCCCAGCAACAGCAGGACCACCAGCACCACGGTCACCACCAAGGTCACCACCACGGGCAGCAGGTACGACGATGAGTTCTGCGGGGCTGCGCGGGGACACGCGGAAAGAGGAAAGGAGACGTGTGAGCTGCCACGGGATGCGAGTCAGCGTCGTTGGCAACAGGCGGTGGGGGAATTCTTTCCGCAGTCTCTCTGCGCGACCGCCGAGCGTGGGTCCCGGGGGTTTCGCTCGCTCCCAGAGCGACTTCACACTCGAGGAGTTGCGTTCGTTCAGCTTTATGAGAGAGATCGCGACCCCACTTCAGACACACACGGACGGACATAAATAAAAACGCTTTACCTGCCGTTGCAGCGATGGGCGTCGGGTCAGCTGCAACGACAGGAGGAGGTGAGAGCGAGACATGAACACTGGGATCACGAGTCGCTCCGTTACATTGGCCAGTCGCCACCGCTTCTGTGGGGAGGCACGAGCATTACCCCCCCCCCCCCCGCCCACACTCTCACTCCCTCCGTACCCGTGGAGAAGAAGAAGCGATGCTCGCTCTCTCCGTGGGCGTTGGTGGCCACGCACGCGACCCCGCGGCTTGTCAGCTCCGAGGTCACGATGACCTCCACCGAGCTGCTCACGGAGCCGTTCGCGAACGCCTGCTCCTGGGGCTGCACGAGCAAAGACAAAGGTCCCCCGTGTAGATGAACGCACCCTGCTGGGGCAAGGGCTGCGAGTGAGTAAGCGCCTGTCAAGGTCACACGACCTCACGGTGATGCCAATGCTCTGGTGTCAGGAGCCAGAGCCGGTCCACCGGACCTCCTGAATACTGCAGAGATCTAGGCGGTACCGGTCCAGCTCCCGACAGAGGAGTGTCAGCCTCTCCTCTGCAATGAGCGTTCGAACATTTCGCGTGGCCATCCGTAGTGGCTTTTTTTTGTTTCTGGAGGTGCCCCGAGGGTAAAGATTCAATCTCCTGGCTCCGCCAAATGGGGTTTGGCCAGGTGACATCATAGACGCCTGTCCCCCTGGGGCCTCCGGCACAAGCTTGTTAAGTACATTTTTCATTCGTGGTTTAGTGGTAATTAATTGAAGGTGGAGGGGTTACCAGCCCCTCACACCCGTCCAGAGCCCCCATTTGGCCGCTATGGTGGTCACAGACGCCATGAGGGGAAAGGCCAATCAGAATTGGCCCTCCCCCCCACAGCACTGTCCACGGCAGCGTTACCCATCTGGCACCCCGAAGAGGTAGAGGGTTGTTTTTGCCCACACACACCCAAGCACACACACAGAACCACACTCGTCCACACACACACACACCCACCCAAGCACACACACAGACACACGCGTGCACACAGCCACCCACACCCACCCAAGCACACACACAGACACACGCGTGCACACACACACGCACCACGGTGAGGATGTTCCACGTGACGATTGGGGAGGGCGGCCCATGGGCCTGGCAGCTCAGCACCAGTTGCTGGTCCACGGAGCTCACCACCACCGTGTCCAGCGCCACGATGCTTGGCTTGTCTGCGTGCACACAGACAGACACACAGACACAGCTCCCCCGAGTGGCCTACAACAGGCTGCTGGGGCGAGGCCCGCCCAAAAGCGGCACCTATGAAGGCTGGCACGGCACACGAGGTGGGGTGGGTTGGCAGCACCACGCCTGCCTGGCTGCCATTTGAGGCCAAGTAAACCTAAAAGAGGCCCCAGACCAGATATTCACTCTCTCTGATGTTAGCCGTGAGTGGGAACCGAACTTGGATTTTCCGGGTTCATAGAGCAGCACTAACAACGACACCCGCGCTCCCCGCAGCACACACACGTATGGTTACCTATACACATGTAATGTGAGGTTATATCCGGGTCGTTGACGGATTACAACTCGTCACGACGATTGGCTCTGCCGGTCCTGGTTCATAGCCAATGGGGGGGAAGCCTAGAGGCGTGGCCCTGACGTGATGGAAAGGTGACAGCTGTAAGTAGAGGATTGGTTCTGCTGGCTTTAGCCACAGCCAATGGGGAGACGAGTCAGGGGCGTGGTCCCGGGAGCCTCTGGAATATTCCATAGAGGCTAACCAGGATTGATGTAAACGTACCACGTGATCCGGGTATTAAATAGGGGTGGAGACGGACAACACGTGGTCAGAACGGGAACGAACGGAGGAAAGGGGCCACGTGTGAGCGGAGCTCCGGGTAGCCACATGGCAGTGCGTCTCTCTCTCTATCTATCCCTCTCACGCTGCCTGTCAGCAGCGTGAAGGAAAGCTGTAATGCAAAGTTGAATAAAAGACCGGATTCCAGAAGTCGCCTCAACGACCTTTATTACACACACACACACCCATACGTATACACCCACTTCATGCATAACCGGTAACCACGTGAACAATATCAAAAACAAACCACCATCACCGCCGTCACCCAAATCAGAGACAGGCGGTGGTGATAGTGGTTGCGGTGGTTGTGGCGGCGGCGGTGGCGGCGGTGGTGGCGGCGGTGGGGCTCCCCACGTGGGGGCCAGCGGAAGCGGAGGCCAGGCCCGCGACGGCCCCCCTCGGGACGGGAACTCGAGTGGCCTCGGCAGCTGACCTTCGATGGAGACTTTGATGGTGGCGGAGCGGGAGAGCCCCGGCACGCCGGGCATGGTGGCGTCGCACCGGTACAGGCCCGAGTGCGCCAGCTCCGCGTTGGCCAGGTGCAGCTCGTGGCCCTGGGAGAGCCGCTGGGAGCCCTGCGCACCGCGCACACAAATGCCGCCCCCCACCCCGTGTTAGCCTTCGACCGCCGGTGCGTTGGCCCGACTCCGTCTCGACACCCCCCACCGGCCACTCGTTTGAGGCCGATTCGACCGAAGGGGAGGCCCAGGAGCCGGTGAAGCGTCACCCTCGGGCGCGTCTCCGCCCATTGGCCGCTCGGCGTCGGCCGGTGCGCGGCGAGGACGCGGCATCGCCAAGTCACCCGACCATGTGCCCGTCGACCACGTCGTCGTGGCCACGGCGAGGTTGCCCACCTTCCACCAGGCGTATTCGATGGGAGCCGACCCCTTGGTGGAGCAGGAGAGTGACGCGTCCTGACCGCGCAGCACGGTTAGGGGTCCCACGGGGCTCAGCCAAACGTCCTCCAGATCTGAGGGGGCACGGGGAGACGGGGGGGGGGGGGGAAGAGACACGGGGGGGGACACGAGGACATGGGGAGACACAGGGACGCGTTGAGACCGAGTCCGTCACCTCCCTGTGCCCCCCGCGTCTCAAAATGCACGAGCAGGTTGATCGTCCCCATGACGCCATGTCCCTCTGTGTCCTGTATCCCCGCATCTTCCCCGCGCATTCCCCACGTGCCCCTTCATCTTCTCCACGTCCCCACGTGTCTCCCTCGCGTCTCCCCCGCGTCTCCCCCACGTGCCCCCTCGTCTTCCCCACGTGTCCCCGCGTGTCCTCGCGTCTCCCCCGCGTGTCCACGCGTCTCCCCCGCGTGTCCCCGCGTCTCCCCCACGTGTCCCCGCGTCTCCCCCGCGTGTCCCCGCGTCTCCCCCGCGTGCCCCCTCGTCTTCCCCGCGTGTCCCCGCATCTCCCCCGCGTGTCCCCGCATCTCCCCCGCGTGCCCCCTCGTCTTCCCCACGTCTGCACGTGTCTCCGCGTCACCCCCACGTGTCCCCGCGCATCTCACAGTGCACGAGCAAGCTGATGGTCGCGTGGTGCCGCGGGAGGTCGGGGAAGTCGAGGTCGAAGCCGGAGCAGAGGTAGCGCCCCGAGTCCCCTTGCGACGCCGCCTCGAGCACCCAGCTGGGCTCCATGCCGGTCTGCAGCTCCTCCTTCAACACCTTCTCCTCGTCCTCCTCGTCCTCCTCGTCCTCCTCCTCCTCCTCTCCCTCAAGGGACAACATGGGCGACGACATCACATCACCAGTAGACACGTCGCCAGCCAAGTCACCAGCCCAGCGACACGGTCAACGTTTAGCAACATTAACATCATTCTCAACGTCACCCTTGCACAGCGAGTCAGTGGGTGGGTCAGTGAGTGAATGCGTGACTGTGTTTGTCGGTGGATGGGAGGGGTGTGCGAGCAGATGGGTGAGTGTGTGAGTGGGTAGGTGAGTGCGAGTGAGTGAGTGAGTGGGCAGGTGGGCGGATGGCTGGGTGGCTGGGTGAGTGGGTGAGTGAGTGGGTGGACGTGTGAGTGGACGGGTGAGTGTGTTTGTCGGTGGGTCTGTGAGTGTGTGGGTGGGTAGGTGAGTGGGTGGGTGAGTGAGTGTGTGGGTGGGTAAGTGAGTGGGTGGGTGAATGAGTGAGTGAGTGTGTGGGTGGGTGGCTGGGCGAGTGAGTGAGTGAGTGGGTAGGTGGGTGAGTGGGTGAGTGAGTGGGTGGGTGGGTAGGTGAGTGGGTGGTTGAATGAGTGAGTGAGTAGGTAGGTGGGTGGGTGGATGAGTGAGTGTGTGGGTGGGTAGGTGAGTGGGTTGGTGAGTGTGTGGGTGGGTGGCTGGGCGAGTGAGTGGGTAGGTGGATGGGCAAGTGGACGCACAACGGAGCGAGAGAAGGTGAACTCGGGAGCTGGGTTCCCGTCAGCCGCACAGTGAAGGGTGACCCGGTCTCCCACCACCACGGGGCCACGGGGACTCACGGACAGCGAGAGTCTCTCCGTTGGGTCTGACACGCGCACAAAGACAAAGATACCCCTTGTAGCCTACACAGACAGGTTGGGGCAAGTGCTGGTAGCGAGCACCTATGAAGGCCGGCACGGAACACAAGGGGGTGGGTGGCCAGCACCACGCCCGGCCGCCTTTGTCTCCCCAGTGGCGATGTTTACATACCGCACCAGGTACTTATTTGAGGCCGTGCAGACCTAGGGGAGGCCCAGCACAGGTTGAGAACGTTCGTCAACGATGTCGGCCGCGTGTGGGAATCGAATTCTGGTCGCCGAGTTCATAGCAGTGGGCTAACCGCTGCACCACCACTCCCACAAACACATGCTCCACGCACACAGCTGGACAGATGGCAACCATAATCACAAGGGTTACAGATACGTAGCTACAAAAAGCACAAAAACTAGTTATTACACACAGGTGACTGTGTGACCAGGTAAGTGGATGGGTGAATGGCCATGAAGGTAAATGTATAGGTGAGTGAGTTTGTAGGTGATTTAGCATAAAGGCGAGTGAGTGTGTAGGTTAGTGTACAGGAGAGTGAATGACTGTACAGGTGAGTTTACAGGTGCATCTACAAGTGAGTGTACAGATGAGTGAGTGTGTAGGTTAGTGAGTGTGTGAGTGTGTGTGTGTACATGCTTAATTCGTAGTGGGGCCTTACCATCAGCCCCACCAAAACTAAGCACCTGCCTGGGTATTTTGTACCATCGGGCACTCCACCCCCACAACTCCCAATCGGTGATGGGGCAATAGTGGAGAGAGTGGAGAGTTTCTCATACCTGGGCAGTGTGCTTATGACCGGCTCCAGTTTAACAGCAGAGGTCTCACTCCGAATCAGTCGAGCGGCAATATCTTTTCAGCGGTTGTGTAACGCTGTGTGGAAGCTACCTGGTCTGTCGCTCCGCACAAAGCGAATGGCGGTTGTTTGCGTGTACATGTGAGTGAGTGTGTAGGTGAGTGAGTGTGTAGGTGAGTGAGTGTGTGTACATGTGAGTGAGTGTGTAGGTGAGTGAGTGTACAGGTGAGTGAGTGTGTGTACATGTGAGTGAGTGTGTAGGTGAGTGAGTGTACAGGTGAGTGAGTGTGTAGGTGAGTGAGTGTACAGGTGAGTGAGTGTACAGGTGAGTGAGTGTACAGGTGAGTGAGTGTACAGGTGAGTGAGTGTACAGGTGAGTGAGTGTGTAGGTGAGTGAGTGTACAGGTGAGTGAGTGTACAGGTGAGTGAGTGTGTAGATGAGTGAGTGTGTAGGTGAGTGAGTGTACAGGTGAGTGAGTGTACAGGTGAGTGAGTGTACAGGTGAGTGAGTGTGTAGATGAGTGAGTGTACAGGTGAGTGAGTGTGTAGGTGAGTGTACAGGTGAGCGTACAGATGAGGCTGACGTTGACTCCGGACGAGGTCTGGTGGTGGGAGCGGCACTGGTACACAGAGTTTGCATCCTTGCGGCTCGGGCGGTAGTAGAGTTCAGAGGTCACGGTGTAGAGACCCAACGAATCCTTCTCCTCGTGCACCCTCATGTACAGCTCTGGGGGGGACACGCAGCGACAGGGGTTAGAGGCACGTGGAGACATACGGGGATACGTGGAGACACGGGGGGACACGGGGAGACGAGACACGCGGGGACACGGGGGGAACACGGGGACACTGGGATCAGAGGCACGTGGAGACACATGCATACATGCGGAGATAGAGATGGGGAGACAGAGGGACAGAGAGACAGGGAGACAGGGAGACAGGGAGACAGGGAGACAGGGAGACAGGGAGACAGAGAGGAGCCATGGCACCTTCGTTTTTCTCCTGGTTCTCGGGGAGGAGCTCTCCGTCTTTGAGCCACTCGATGGAGGAGGCCGGGAACCCCAGACTCGCAATGCACGTGGCCACCTTCACAGCACACACGCACGCAGATGCAGACGCACACCAACATGCACACGCGCACGCACGCACGCAGTCGTGCTCACACGCACACACACAGACGCGCGCACACACGCAGATGCACACACGCAGATACACACGCAAACCCAGACGCACACGCACGCGCGTACACCCATCTACCATTTACAGCCATGCACAGCCAACCCAGTGGTGGGAGGTCAAGTCTATCGAAAGAACAACCGCTGTTGATATTCCCCTTTACAAATATGGTACTCGATTTATCGACCTTCCTTAAATTCCCCCCTAAATTACTCACCAAGTACCCCCCACTCCCCCCTCCCCAGCACCTCCCCCCCCCTTCCCCGCCCCCCTCTTCCGGCCCCCCCCTCCCCACCACCTCCCCCTCCCCCCACTCACCTTTCCGGGCTCGTGGAGGACTCCGATGGAGGCTGTCGAGGCCTTGATGGTGAGCTCCGGATTTTCTGAGACGCAAACGAAAGTAAAATGTCAAACAGAGCTGAGGAGCGGAAGTCAAAGTGGCAACGTCCCCCCCCCCCTCATCCCGCCACAACTCGGGGAGTCCAGCGGGGAATCTGGCAGGGCCAGGACGGCCCGAGGAAGCGGATGTCACAGAGCTACCTCCGAGATCCGCTTCTCTTTAACGCGAAAGGTGGCAGCACTGCCCCACGCACGCGCTGCTGATATGTCGGCGTCCCAGGTGTCTAGTGCCTCATTCTAGATAAACAGGATCACAGTGTCTATCGTCTAGTCCGCAGTGTCCATCATCTAGCCCGCAGCGTCCATCGTCTAGTCCGCAGTGTCCATCATCTAGTCCGCAGTGTCCATCGTCTAGTCCGCAGTGTCCATCATCTAGTCTGCAGTGTCCATCGTCTAGTCCGCAGTGTCCATCGTCTAGTCCGCAGTGTCCATCGTCTAGTCCGCAGTGTCCATCATCTAGTCCGCAGTGTCCATCGTCTAGTCCGCAGTGTCCATCGTCTAGTCTGCAGTGTCCATCGTCTAGTCCGCAGTGTCCATCGTCTAGTCCGCAGTGTCCATCATCTAGTCCGCAGTGTCCATCATCTAGTCCGCAGTGTCCATCATCTAGTCCGCAGTGTCCATCATCTAGTCCGCAGTGTCCATCGTCTAGTCCGCAGTGTCCATCGTCTAGTCTGCAGTGTCCATCGTCTAGTCCGCAGTGTCCATCGTCTAGTCTGCAGTGTCCATCGTCTAGTCCGCAGTGTCCATCGTCTAGTCCGCAGTGTCCATCGTCTAGTCCGCAGTGTCCATCATCTAGTCTGCAGTGTCCATCGTCTAGTCTGCAGTGTCCATCGTCTAGTCCGCAGTGTCCATCATCTAGTCTGCAGTGTCCATCATCTAGTCTGCAGTGTCCATCGTCTAGTCCGCAGTGTCCATCATCTAGTCCGCAGTGTCCATCATCTAGTCTGCAGTGTCCATCGTCTAGTCCGCAGTGTCCATCATCTAGTCTGCAGTGTCCATCGTCTAGTCCGCAGTGTCCATCATCTAGTCTGCAGTGTCCATCGTCTAGTCCGCAGTGTCCATCATCTAGTCTGCAGTGTCCATCGTCTAGTCCGCAGTGTCCATCGTCTAGTCCGCAGTGTCCATCGTCTAGTCTGCAGTGTCCATCGTCTAGTCCGCAGTGTCCATCGTCTAGTCTGCAGTGTCCATCGTCTAATCCGCAGTGTCCATCGTCTAGTCCGCAGTGTCCATCGTCTAGTCCGCAGTGTCCATCATCTAGTCCGCAGTGTCCATCGTCTAGTCCGCAGTGTCCATCATCTAGTCTGCAGTGTCCATCGTCTAGTCTGCAGTGTCCATCGTCTAATCCGCAGTGTCCATCGTCTAGTCCGCAGTGTCCATCGTCTAGTCCGCAGTGTCCATCATCTAGTCTGCAGTGTCCATCGTCTAGTCTGCAGTGTCCATCGTCTAGTCTGCAGTGTCCATCGTCTAATCCGCAGTGTCCATCGTCTAGTCCGCAGTGTCCATCGTCTAGTCCGCAGTGTCCATCATCTAGTCCGCAGTGTCCATCATCTAGTCCGCAGTGTCCATCGTCTAGTCTGCAGTGTCCATCATCTAGTCTGCAGTGTCCATCGTCTAGTCCGCAGTGTCCATCATCTAGTCCGCAGCGTCCATCATCTAGTCCGCAGCGTCCATCGTCTAGTCCGCAGTGTCCATCGTCTAGTCCGCAGTGTCCATCGTCTAGTCCGCAGTGTCCATCGTCTAGTCTGCAGCCCCCTTGCTCGCACGCCCCCCGCGTGGCTCCCCGCTCTGCCCTCCCCCCCCCCCCCCGCGTCGTCGCTCACTGTAGACGCGGATCTTCGTGGCCGCCTCGCTGGAGCCCAGCTGCTTGGCCGACACCTGGCACACGAGGGCGCCCTCGTCCGAGGCGCGCACGCGCTCCAGCACCAGCGAGTTGTCGGGTCGCAGCGAGATGTGCTCGCTCTTCCCCGGCACCACGTCCACCACGTGCTCGTGCGGCTCCTCGCGGTACACCAGGCGCGTCCTCCTGCCGGAGTCGTCCGCCTACCGGTGGGGGGAGGGGGGGGAGGTGCCGACGCGGGGTTGGCGGTGAGGATTGGCGGGGAGGGTTCGACAATGGTGATGATGGTGGCGATGGTGGAGATGGTGATGCCGGTATTGGTGGCAATGGTGACGATGATGGTGCCGCCGGTGATGGTGCTGCCGGTGATGGTGGTGATGGTGCTGCCGGTGATGGTGGTGATGGTGCTGCCGGTGATGGTGCTGCCGGTGATGGTGCTGGCGATGGTGGTGCTGGCGGCCTCACCATGAACCACTGCACGACGATGGAAGGCCGAGTGGTGTCCGGCGGCACCGTGAGGGTGTAGGTGCATGGGACGACGGCGTCCTTCCCCAGCTCCACGTCCACACTCTCCGGAGAGGACACCTGGAGATCCGCTCCAACGGCTGCTCGCACAGAGAGGCAAAGGCAAAGATAAAGGTCCCCACCCCCTCCGTGTGGCACGCGCGGACTGGTCGGGGAAAGAGCGTCCGGGTCCGGGTCAAACCCACGACCTTCTGTGCCGCAGGCGAGAGAGAGAGAGAGAAAGTCTCCGAGCCACCGCAGCACCCCGAGTCTGCGAGTGGCGCCGAGCGGGAGCCGGTGATGCGACGACGGCTCTAAGGGAGGCCTTCATCCGGCAGTGACCATGGCTGATGCTGATGCTGGTGTCACATCGGCCTTGTATCTCCACTGTGTTGGCTCAAGGGAGCAGCTGGCAGGAGTTCACCTGAGCCGCTGTGGTGAGATCACCTCTCGAATGACCTCCCGCACACCTTGCCAGGCGAATCGGCAGCACTCCGACCGTGCCCCTGCGTTCGTCATTCTCTGCATCGTCAGCCTCAGATGAGTGCCCTGGTGCGGTATGTAAACGTCGCTACCGGGGAGACAAAGGCGGCCGGGCAGGCGTGGCGCTGGCCACCCACCCTCCTCGTGCGCCACGGTGCCGGCCTTCACAAGCGCTCAACAACAGCACTTGCCCCAACAGCGTGTAAGGCTATACGGGGAACTTTGCCTCTGTGTGCGATGCGGGACAATGGGAGGGAACAAGGCGGAGCGTCTGCCAAGTTCGTCTCGGGTCACCGCGATTAGCACGGCTGGCTACGTACGGTGGGAAAGAAGTTCAACGTAGTACACAGACACGAAGAGGTGGAGCGCGAGGGCTGCACTGCACGTGCCTGGGTCGAGGAGCTGCGATCGCCACCTGCCACTCATCTCGGCTCAACCTACACCACGTGGGTCTCATCTCGGCTCCAGCCACAGCACCTGCCACTCATCTCGGCTCCAGCCACAGCACGTGGGACGTGGGGCCTCTGCCCCGCGACCTCCCGCCAGCCTTCCACGCGGCCCGCGAGGACTCCCAGGTGCACCTCGCCTGAGACAACGCCGCGGTCACGTCGCCGCCACTTCGTGGCGTACGGCGGCTGCGGTGTGTGTGGATATGTTTGTAATGTGTGCCTGAGTGTGTGTCTGATGTGTGTGTGTGCACGAGTGTGTCTGATGTGTGTGTGTGTGCACGAGTGTGTCTGATGTGTGTGTGTGCACGAGTGTGTCTGATGTGTGTGTGTGTGCACGAGTGTGTCTGAATGTGTGTGTGTGCACGAGTGTGTCTGAATGTGTGTGTGTGTGTGAGTGTGTCTGAATGTGTGTGTGTGTGTGTGCGAGTGTGTCTGAATTTGTGTGTGTGCACGAGTGTGTCTGAATGTGTGTGTGTGTGCACGAGTGTGTCTGAATGTGTGTGTGTGCGAGTGCATCTGAATGTGTGTGTGTGTGTGCACGAGTGTGTCTGAATGTGTGTGTGTGTGCACGAGTGTGTCTGAATGTGTGTGTGTGTGCACGAGTGCATCTGAATGTGTGTGTGTGTGTGCGAGTGTGTCTGAATGTGTGTGTGTGCACGAGTGTGTCTGAATGTGTGTGTGCACGAGTGTGTCTGAATGTGTGTGTGTGCACGAGTGTGTCTGAATGTGTGTGTGTGTGCACGAGTGCATCTGAATGTGTGTGTGTGTGCGAGTGTGTCTGAATGTGTGTGTGTGCACGAGTGTGTCTGAATGTGTGTGTGCACGAGTGTGTCTGAATGTGTGTGTGTGTGCACGAGTGTGTCTGAATGTGTGTGTGTGTATGCGAGTGTATCTGAATGTGTGTGTGTACGGGGAGTAAGTGTAGCAGTTAGCACAAAGCCGCGCTACAAATCCGGCGATCCAAGTTTGATTCCTGCTCACGGCCAACACCAGTGACGATTATCTGAACCGGTCCTGGGCCTCCCCTAGGTCGACTTAGCCTCAAATGAGTACCTGGTGCAGTGTGTAAACATCGCCACTAGGGAAGACAAAGGCCGTCGGGCGTGGTGCTGGCCACCCACCCCACCGTGCGCCATTCCGGCCTTCATAGGTGCTCGCTAGCAGCACTTGCCCCTACAATCTGTTAAGGCTATACGGGGGATCTTTGTCTTTGTGTGTGTGCGCAGAGTCTATGCCCGAGTGTGTGTGTCCACGAGTGTGTGACTGTGTGCATCTATGACTGCATGAGGGAGGGGTGAGTGAGAGATTGAGAGGCGATGGGAAAGGGGGAAACTCTGACGATTTCGAGCAGCCTGTCCAGCCTTTGGACGTGACGGCCGGTCCTGATAATTACATTAAAAAATAATCATCATCATCATCATGTAGCGGCCCATGTCAGTTCCCTGGCTCCTGACTGGATAGAGAGGCTCTAGAGGGGCACAGTCGGTGGGGCGTGTGACTGAGACCCACAGCGAATACCCAAAGCTGTCATTGTGCCCCTGTGATGTCTCCGATGACTGATCTCACTCACTCAGTGGCCCGTCTCTCCACGGAGAGAGACACACACAGACGCGCAAAGACAAACGCACAAAGACAAAGATTCCCCGAATAGCCACACGGGTTGTCAGAGCAAGTGCTGTTAGCGAGCGGTGCCGATGTGGGCCGGGGATGTGGGGTGGCCTGAACCAGCACGCCCGACCACCTTTGTCTCTCCCCAGTGCCGACACACCGCACCCAGGTGCTCGATGGAAGCCCAGTCGACCTGGGGGAGGCCCAGGACAGGGAGCGAGACTCACGACAGATGCTGGCAGTCAGCAGAAATCGAACTCTGCACTCCGGGATCGTCGAGCGCATCGCGCTAACCATTACCCCACCACTCCCCACATACACACAAAGTGACCCGCATACACACACAGACACATACAATTATACTAAAGACAGACAAAGCCACACACACACAAGCACAGACATGCAAAGACAAGCACACAACCTCACAAACACACACACACGTAACACTCGGTGTAGGACGACCCCGTTACATAGACTTAGGATTCCATTTTTCTAGAGCTTAAATACCTTCATGAAAAAAAGTTATTTCCTCCGGTAAAGCTATGAAGTTACTCTCTAGAAACAGGATGAAAAAAAACCGTGAAGGAGCGTAGTGGCCAGGACATCCCGAGTCGCACCCCCAACGTGAACAGGGAATGGCTCCGACTCCCGGCGACGCAGATTCACTGGGGCCCAACCCACCCCACGAATGGGTCCTTGATGATTGTGAGCAGAGAGGTCAGGGGCCCCGAAAGCACGACGAATAACTCAGAGCCCCGGTCTATTGATGGTATCACAGGCAATGGCCAGGTCAATAAATCAGAAATGTAATACCTAAACCATCACGGCTGTAGCAGACGGACAGATAAAATAGCGTCTGTGCAGGACCGCCCCAGCCTATGAAACCACAATGGGGCTGGCTCCCACAAGCCTCATCCGGGCACTGTGCCTTGTCCCGCGCTAGATTGAGCAGGGAGATATTCGGAAGTTGTTGCCATCGGTGCGGTCTCCCTTCCAGGAAGAAGAGGAAGCCACCAGGTCATCGTCGCAATCCTGCGGTCCCGTGGACCAGGCAGCTGTGGTCACGTGCACACAATCACCACCCTCCCTCTCAGCAGTTCACTGGGGAGGGGTCGTCTTTACCTGCTCTCAGGCTCTGGGTCGTTCTGCGTACTTCAACAGATGGAACATCAGCCAGCCACTCGCAGGGTGTGGATACTACCTCCATTACTTGAGGCTGGGCAGCCCGGACAGGATTAGCCATATCTTGCCCCATGATCTCATTGGAGCTGAGGGGGGTTTCTCTCTGAACAAGAATTTACACAAATGTTCGGCAAATCTGCAGACCTTTTATTGAGAGTTGGAAATCAGATAATTTATGCCCTTAAGCACAGCAATAGGTGCGGTGCGCAAGTTACTCTTTTGATGGAGTTAAAGAGCGCTTTGTGATGCAGCCTGCTCAAGCGGTTTCGCCCATGCTTGCAGCACCGCACGGCAAGGCGAACCTTCCGAGCGGAGGCTGCGGCAAGCCTCCTCATCCTCGGACGTGGGATGTTGGAGACGGTGGGAATGCGTCCGTTTGATTTCTCTCAGCCGACTCGAACACCTCCTCGCATCGGCCAGGTTTTCTGGGCATGTCTCTGGACTGTGTATTCTGCGGAGCCAAAGCAGCTGCGTGGGCCACAGCTCCGAACCTCAGCAATCTCCCCCTTGGCATTCGGAGGGAGGAGGAAAAGGGCGTGGGGGGTGGGGGGAGAGATGCCAACCCGAGCTGCAAGTAACAGCTGACCGAGACCAGGCTATTGCGGGTTGGAATGTAGTCCTATGTGTGTGCCCACCACGACAGTGGTTCAATGGCTGGGTCGTCTTACAAATAACTAGACAGCATTTCTTTGTAGACGGATCAACTCGACAGTTGATTCTGGTGTCAACAAACGCATTCGTTGTGCCACCACTGCAAAGTCCAGCAGATGTTCTTGCTTGCGGCTGGCATGCACCAAAGATGCCAAGTGGATAGGCCGATTCCGGGACAGCGTGTTGGTCATTACAAGGCCATGGGCTGCACAGAGCTCTAGCAGCCCCATCCTGTTATTCTTGAGCTAATCTGACCAATGTATCTATGTTGGAATTCTTTCACACCGTACGTAGCCAACCGTACTAATCGGAGGCGCAATGGCCTTGCGATGACTTCCACGTCACGTGATCACGTCTCACTTGGACGTTCTTCTTCGTATGTCGATGTTGATGGAGAGCAACAACTACGATTTAAAATTGAGGCGGTTGAGCCAAATAACTCTGTCAGCAGTAGAAGAATCTATTGCTGTAATGCCTCCGATTTGGACATTAAAGTCAGCCAATAAGGAGACTCTATCCCAAGGGGCCACTTTAGCCAGCATCTGTGACAGGAGGTCAGAGAAGGCATCTGACTCATCCGGCCTTGCCTGCATCCCTCCGCTGATGTTCGTCTGCAGTGGGGGCATAAGCAGCCACCACCATTCCTCACCTCGTGTTCATGAGGAGGCGAGCCCACAGGAGCCTCGCACTCGCAGCTTCCCACAGCTCGTCGCTACGCTCCCACAACC